TGCTCAGTCTCCAGGTGCCATTTCAAGGTTCTGTACACAAATATCGCCCTCCGAAACCACAATCAGATATAATAACGCCCAACAGTGAAGTAGTGCACACACATTTTCACAGTCGGCTCAAGCGCAGCAAAATAAAGACCCATTTTCCCTGGGATCTCATTTCGGAGAAGAAATCTCGAATCCGCTTGATGGTGGAGTAGTCCAACACTGAAGTCATTTAGCACGAGAAAACAAGGAAAGGCAGTCAGACGAAATGTTGAGGAATGAGTCTAGTTAGTTCGGTCTCCGTCTAAACACAAGAAACTCCGAGCATTTGAGCCCTTCTACACTGCTGCAGTGTTCATCCTCTACACCATCACCATTATACACCTTCATCATCATCATCACCTTCGTTGTAGGAGCCACACTAATGCAGGGTTTTCAGTCTCACAAATTTCTGTGGGCGGGGCAGGGAGGGGTGGGGCGGTGGCGGGGCAAAGGGGGGGGGGCGATGTTGCTATGTTGCACCTCTCTATCTGCTTGTTTCACGAAGAAGACGAGTGCGCCCCACGCTCGGAGAGCAGCGAGGGCGACTGTAGGCGAGTGAGCAGGACAATGGAGATGGACACAAGGAGAGTGACGACGACGAAGGACGGCCTGAGGGAGATGGCACTGTTGCAACCGTCCTGGTCACAGGCCTCGAGACAGCCGTAGATCTTCTGCTCCTGGTTCCCGTACACGTAGCGGATGTCGCCACAGTGGCTGCCCCAGTCGCCGTCACTGCAGTCACGCACCGTGATCCGAGTACCGTCCTCTGGGAAAGGGGAAGAAAAGAATTTAAAAAATAAATTTAAAAGTAAAAAGAAAACCCAATAAATACAGACGTTTTTACGCCCAAATCGACTTAATTTAGAGGTAAATTTGGCCCTGCAAGTCATGGTCAACTTGGGCTGAGAAGGATACAGCTCCCTCGCAGAAATACCGAGATACTCAAAAATAATTTTCCCAACAAGCAAATCAAACTCGGGTCTTTTGCCTGCGACGGAGTAGCGTTTAACAGCTACATCATAGATTCCGGCATCACAGATTCCGGTCGGGAGAGGAGGAGATTAAAGATAACGGTGAAAGTTAAACTACACTCCTCCCCCCCCCCCCAAGTCATATCTTCCAGCACAACGACGACCACAGCCTGTGGTTCTTTTGCTCGCCTGTAAAATGTAGCTGCAACCTTACTGTGGCCCTCACTTTGACCCTCTCTCTGGCCTCACTGTGACCCCAGGTGTTGTGCTCTGGGTCATGCATTTCGAAAGGGCAGGGAGGAGTGGACTTTATTTATCTATTAAGATAACAATACTGCGTTTTTACTTTCCGGTATAATCGAACACCCCCCCCTCTTCCCAAACGAAAAAAAAGAAAAAGAAAAAGAAAAAGAAAAAAAAAACAACAACCCCTAACCAGTATCATCAACAAACAAACCATCACTTTACCGGCAGGCAACAGCCGTTGCACTCACGCACAGAACTATCTAGTTACTTCACTGGGACTAGTGCAGGCACGCGCCCTCCCCAGGCTTGCACAATGTTTACGGTCGATCTCAGCGGACGACAGGAAGCGAGGCCTGTCGCGAGGAAAGCGCGATAATCCTGTTATCACTTACTCTAGACCCCATCAGCGAGGTTCTGACCGGGGTCAGAGAGAGAGAGAGAGAGAGAGAGAGAGAGAGAGAAACAGAGAGACAGAGGGATCCAGAGACAGAGAAATCCAGAGAGACAGAGAGAGATCCAGAGAGAGAAATCCAGAGAGAGACACACATAGAGAGATAGAGAGAGATAGAGAAAGAGAGAGAGAGAGAGGTCCAGAGAGAGACACAGAGAGAGAGAGAGAGAGGCCCTATTTCTTCGTGTTCGTTTCTTTACGAAATAAATTCCCTCACCAAATCTCCCTGTCCGTTCGGCTTCAAACAACCCATGGCCCTGACGTCGACCAACTAAACAATTGTTCGTAAGCCAATTCTCTTCCAATACGTCACTAAAAAGGCCCTTCTCTGCCAACGAAAGTGAGACAAACTGTTTTCTACATCCGTGATCAGTGTCTCACTTCAGCTGGCAGGCTGCCTGGAATCCGTATTAGGGTGTGGGCAGGAAAAGAAATCAACTGGAACCATTGTGGATTCGCTCCCCGCATTGTTCTCGCTCTGCTGAGTGGTATTGGAAGGTTTTGGTGTGGTGCAGAAACTGGGGGCATATACTACTACGTTGATAGAATTATTGAACTGAAAGCCCTGGGGCTTTGAAGCCCCTTCCAAGAAGTTGGAATGGCAATGGGCTCATTTGAAATGTATGATCTAACAAGAAAACGCGGGAGACAAGAGAGTGGCATTTCCTCTTCGTTGTATCTATGTCGAAACGTGATAAGAGAGGAAGGAAGAAGTAGAGAGGGAAGAGAGAGAGACAGAGAGAGAGAGAGAGACAGACAGACAGACAGACAGACAGACAGACAGACAGACAGACAGACAGACAGA